CATGCGTCTTCTCGTAACTCTTAGTTCCTCGAGTTTAAAGTCGAAATTAATTAATGACAAATAAATAATGGTCCCGATTGACGCTGGTAGAAAGATTCTTATTCCATCTGAGAGAAAGATTCTTATCTGCGACAAACGAAGATGACGCAAACTAGGCGTCGTCCGTTTCCGTTCGGCACAGATAGGGTCAAAGTACACCTCGTTCGTAGAGACAGACTCGACGAATCCCTCCATACGCGCGTCGTCGATATTTTTACTCGCGAATCCGAGAAAAACGCGAGCAAAACACGGTTGATCGATGGACGAGTTACGCGGATCGTTGCATGGGAAATAGGTATTGTATAAGCAATAAAGAAAAATTGTGCAACGTCGATAAATAAAATATGTATTGTATAACAAATGGCTGCATGGCGATTAAAAAACGACGACATTTTTTTGGATACGGTTTACATAAATGAATCTGTTATTTTAAGAAGCACCAATTGTAACCTGGCTTTCAGGCTACAAAGCCTCGTAATGTTCGTTTGCTCAGCGAGCTAAGTCGCATTTAGTTCTTGTTTCTATTCGTACAAGATTAAAGTATCTGTGGTCACGAACTCGGTTACGCAAGACGAAAATCGTGGCCCGATCGCAGGGAAAATCGGTTGCGAAAAGAAGCAGCCGACGAAGGTCGGGTTTAACGAAGTCTATTCGTGATGGCAGTCACGCTCGTCGACCGATTCATCGATTAGCCGCGTTTCGTATCGAAATCGCGTCAAGGTGAAGGTGTCAGTGGCCCTTATCGGTAAAGAGAACGGGAAAAGGGTCGTTCCCGAGAATTCCAGATGACGAAGCGATTCGTCGGACGTCAAGGTCGATCGTTATATGGGACGTACGTGATCGAGTCCGGTCTCAAAATCTTTCCATGGCTCGATCAATAGTCACGGCGCGTAACCAGATGCGTACGTCTTATCGTTAGATAACTAATGTTCCTTAGGCTGTTGCATTTGATCGCGAATCGGTTATGAGACAGAATACTACAATTCTTCATGTTCTAGTAATGATACAAAATTTTACTCGACCGTAGATCGACGTTTCTCTCCAGACAAACCAACGTTTGTCATTGTAAATCATTTTCTGTTTCTTTTAAGTTTGCACATTCAAATAATCGTCTATTCGATTTTTTCTAATTTCGATAAGCAATAGGAAACAGTATTGATTGCACAGATCAAAGGAGCGTGAAAGTGTTAATAATAGGAGTACACCGGCGGGAAAAAAACACTCCACTTTCAATCACGACTTGATGCGATTTAACGCATCGATTGAGGGATCATTGAAGCCTGACGATTTATCTCGATCACGCTTTCTAGCCTCTTACATAAACTCAGAACGAAATTGAATTGAGATATATCATTGACTATTGAAGAATTTCCTTGGCAACTCTAGTCCCATGGAACGTTAAAGAGTAATACCTGTCTAATTAATTAATTAACGTGACGCACAAACGAAGGCGTGACAACGACGCCTTTGGGGACTCTGTTACAATTTTAGACAATTTTTCCTACGAAACGTGTTCAGCATTTCGACGATAATTAATTAGTCTTCTATTACATTAAGCAATAACGGGGAACCTTCGTGTATTCTTTATGTGCTTGTTAGATAGTATCAGTGGACGTTCATTGCATGATGATGTGACGACGCAATTACTAAATGAATAGGTGTACCCTTACTTACAGATCTTGCTATAACGACAACAATTAGGAAACACGTTCGATATTAAACGGGCGGTGATTATCAAATTACGTTCCATTATTTTCAACGGGAGAAATTGCAAAATTTGAACTTCCACGTGAGCTCGTTTAAACCGGCGTGCGGCTGTGTTGAAGTTCGAGATCTGAGTGAAGGCGAGAGTTCCTGTAGAATTTGATCTGGGAGGAGGTCTGAATATCGGGAATTCGAGTGTTGAGTCGACCGTGGCCCAGAAATCTCACCTGGGTCTTTCCACACGCGTCCTCGCGGTGTGTCGCGTCGTCGTCCTCCGGAATGCATTGCGCAACTCCCAACGTCTGGACATCTTCATTATTCGATTTTCGAATACTAAACAACGTGCAAACTCTTGCAGACTCATTCAACTTTTATAACAGCTACCTTCTTTCATTGTATCACGAAGACACAACAGAAATAATTTAGGTACAGTTTCTACAACGTTGCAATCTCTCGTTGCACAAAAACCTAGGAATAAATTCAGGGAAATTACTGTTAGTTTTTCGTCAAAGTAATAATTAATGCCAGTCACGGCTGTTAGAGCTGATGATATTTATCCGAAGATAAGGAGACGCGCGTCACTTCCGAACGACAGTCGAATTAAGTAATCTAACCGCAAATTAGTTCTGGCTGCTCCGGGTCTGACTACGCCGGCCATTATCTACTTACGCGCCCGATCACCGAACACCACCGCGTGCGGCCGTACTACTTAATAACCGTTGCACTACTTGCTGTTTGTAGACGTCCAAGAATAATTACTTAACAATCATTCGCGTACTTTGATATTGAATATTAAACATCTAAAATCAACAAGTCGTTTGTCTGATTGGTAAACTATTCATAGAATTCGTTACACAATATCTTTCCTTGGATTCCAGTAGACCTCGGTAATAAAATACATATATTATTAGAAGTTCTGAGACTGGACTCAACAATCTCCTTGCAGTGCATAAATTATTTAATATTATTTATCTAAAGAGTGCTGAACGTTTATCGACGATCCGTCGAATAAAGTTCGACGAATTGCAAAACGAACGGAACAACAACGGCATCGTGTCATAAATTGTTTACGACTCGCGGTAACATTTCCTCAGCCGCGAATACAGTTCCCCTTTCTATTTAATTTCTACGCTTCCCCAGGCGAATTCCAGTCGGCTAATTATCGCAACGTTCACCGCACGTAGGTACACGTATGTGAACTTCGGTAACCGTTTCCACCGATGAGTCCCGTAGGAAGTTACGTGAAATGTCGAAAGCTGCGAATGCAATTCGGATAATGGACGTAATAAACTCCTCGCGTGTCGGAGAGAGCTAGGATGCAACGATAATTGTATCGCGACACGAATTCACCGGATACTTTGTATCGCAACGGTCTAGCTTGCACGTGCTCCGTCTGTAATTCTGTGTCTTGCGTTCGTCAACGAATTCGTCATCTCGTGTAAGCGTTTCACGAATCGAGGTATACTCCTGTGTTTCAAAATATGATTGCATCAATTTCATCATTGAACAAACGTCGAGAAATAATTACGTTTAATAGAGGATTTGAAAGTATGGGAAATTCGCGAGCAGGATTGGCATTCGCCTATCAATTAGAAACAAATATTGATTTAGGAATTCAAATAGAAAATTGTCTATTACACGCCGTTAACATTATCAGTCTTAAGGATCACGTGGGATAGGAAAGCAGTGGTTAACTCGGCGATCATCGATCGGGGAGAGAGAGGCAGGTGGCAGCCATAGAAACGTCTTCACAGGCAGTTGCTTTCTTCTGCGGGCCGATATCGCGAGCCGGGGAGTTACGAAACGGTTTGTTGGCTTTTCCTCGTTCGACGCACGCGTTTACGCTGGTCCCTCGTAATTCAACGTTGGGAATCGACCAGATTCGCGGCACATGCACCGTGAAAGCCGATTTATCGTGTACGTGCTGACCTTTCGTCGCCACGATTCGTATCAGACGCCCGTATTTCAGTTAAAGTCAAGTATAAGTTATATAATTCCCAGAGTACTAACTGATTCTACAATAGAAACGCAACTTTTCCAGCGGATTCGAGAGTTCCTTAGTTTTACGTATAGATGCGCATAAAAGAGCGACACGTGGCTGTGATCCGATTACGACTGTAGCTTCTCATGAATCCATTAGGGTTTCTCTTGCATAAAATTCCTGAAACGTGACTGGCAAGCGTTCGACTATCTTAGAAGAGATTTCCTGGCACACAGAGATTCTGATACGCTTGAAATTGGTACATATTTTCTGAAGACTCTGTCATAACTTCAACAAACCGTTTTCCTGGTACGATATCAAGATTTACGGCGAAACTAAGTTTGCACAATCCTGTACGTTAACGAATGCCTGAAATTTCACCCAGAATGGCTACTCTTGTTAAACACGATTCTCGAAACCGGGTGAAAATGTCAACAGAATCGCGGAGAAATGTTTGCACGGCCTTGGCCACACTGATACGTTTCGGAGAGAGGAACGGGTTAACTTTGCGGGCCACAGGTACCTACTTGTACACGCGTCGCGTTGCCCAATGAACCGGCGGCGTGAGCGAAAAGAAAGCCGCATTCTTACGTAAGCACCGTGTACACACGCTCCTTCTAAACGATTCGGACTGGCCGAAGTCCGTTGCGACGCACGTAAGTCTTCCAAGGCTTCGCTTTTAGGGCCGATTCGATCAGTCGGTCTGATACGATCTAACTGTTCGGTCTCCCAAAATGAGAGAATCTTAGGACCTAAACTCTGTGGATCAGTTTCTTAAAAACGACGTGTAAGAATCGAGAATTTGCAAAATATAAAAATGCAATTTTCGCAAAAATTCGCTTCGTGACTTGACTCGATCGACTACACCTTCTCCGTGACTCGTTTACAAATCTCCATATTTAGCAACGCGTTCGGATGCATTGTGATTAGCTTCAATCTCTATGAACGAGACGAAACTCGAGTGAATAAGAATTTATGAAATCCAGAAACTGTTTCATTTGTTTGAAATACAGGAACTTTGAACCGTCGCACGTTCTTTACTCGAAAAGCAAGGTGTCGCGCGTCATCACAAAGCTAACAACTCATTTAGTGTGTTCGATTAGTATGACTTGCGTCACGGCCGTCTCGCCTCAGAATGCACGTCGATCTCTTTTTCAATCTGTTATGCTTGCACGTATATGCGCACGTAATCGACTCGCTCGTAATCCATCGCCAGTCCCGAAACGATGAAAAATCTGAGATTGTTACGTGGAACCTTCCCGTGTTTTTGTTCCAGTGACGGGACAGTAGGAGGTGGTGGTGGTGGCCTGGCGAGCTCAGACGACATGCAGAACAATTCGGACAGCACTCTGGACATGACGATGGCCACCAACACGGTGCTAGCCACGCCGGGGTTGAACAACCCCGCGTGGAACCGGCAGCAAGCGGTCAGCGTCAGGCACGCCTTCAAAACATACGGAAGCAGCAAGAATCCTAATCACGTTATCCAGAATCTCACATGACCGTGGCCAAGGGATCCATGTCAGTAAAGTTACATTTTTTTTTATAGCAATTAACTTATAACCGTCTGAGTGCAGTTTCTCTCGTAATGCAACATTAACGTGCTTCGTCATTATAAGGGATCAAGGTGCGATATTGTTTCCTGAAGATCTTTTGTAATTCGATGAACGATTCGCTTTGTAATGAAACCGTGATTATCTTGTCATTAAGGGATTAAGGTGCGAAATTGCTTCCTGAGGATGTAATTATTGGTTGAAAATTCTTATTGGTGAAAGCAGGATATCGCGAAGTAGACTGTAGTGCATGTGAGCCTGAAACGATCCGTGTACGCCTGATTTATCTGTCGACTTTGAACGTAAGAAGGTCGGGAACAGGTAATCCCTGAGCAGACTAATTACCCCAGTGTTCTAACGAAATCGATTCAGTCTGCTGACACTTGGATAAAAATCTAGTATAATGTAACTAGAAAGCAATGGTTCACTGATACGTGACGGGATCTCGTCGATCTTCTCTCGGAGAACCGTTTTCACGCTCGATTCGTCGTGGTATCGATATCCGTTGCTCGGGCTTGAGAGCCGAGGCGGAAACACAGCGAGATTTATACCGCGAGTTCAAAGTTTCCGGGACTAAAATGAATTCGCAGGAACACCGCTATCCGTGTTTGCGTAATTTGATTACGTACGCGAGTCCATTATCTTGATTACTGTTACGAATATCGGCACGTAACCATTACATGAATCGCGCTCGAACCGCGATTTGTTTGCCCGACTGATGAGTTCAGGCTGAAATCAAGACAGTGATTCATTTAGAGAAATTCTTCTTATATCACTGTTGATATTTTAACTGCAACTCTTCTACTACGAAGTTGTTGCGTGGACTTTTAATCAGTTTTTCATCTGGTTTAAACATAAAATATTAATTCTTGTTTTTAGTTATGGATTGCTCGGAGCCAGCGGATGCGGCAAGACCACTCTGCTATCTTGCATCGTCGGTCGAAGGAGATTGAACTCCGGCGAGATCTGGGTCCTCGGTGGCAAGCCGGGAACCAAAGGGTCCGGAGTACCTGGAAAGAGGGTCGGCTACATGCCACAGGAGATTGCGCTCTACGGCGAGTTCACGATCCGCGAGACCATGATGTACTTCGGCTGGATCTTCGGCATGTGCACCAGCGAAATCGCCGACAGACTTCGATTCCTCTTGCAATTCTTGGATCTGCCTTCCCAGAACCGACTGGTAAAAAATCTTAGGTACGTGAATAAATCACGATCTCGTTCGACGACGTGACAGATCGATATTGAAACCGTTAGTATGAATTTTGTGTTTGATAAATGTGCAGCGGTGGCCAGCAGCGACGAGTGTCATTCGCGGTAGCCCTGATGCACGATCCGGAGCTTCTGATCCTGGACGAGCCCACCGTAGGCGTAGATCCTCTGCTCCGGCAAAGGTGAGACATAGATTACAGCCTAACATCGGGAAAGGTCGCTCGTTATTTGGGACGTGTTTGCCATTTAATCCGACGGACAAGGCGCCTCCGTTTGGGCGATTTTCTGCGCCGCAAAAACCAATAAGTCTAAAAATATCTACGGGGGAACCTGTTCTAACGGAAGATCACTTTCAGACGAATGAATTTACTTTTATCCGGCGTTTGGAGTAACTTTCTGTTAGTCTAGTCTGCTTTCTTAACTTTCATCCAGAATTCTATTCAAGCAAAGCCCGTCTTAAAAGGAAGTAGCAAAGCTATAAAGCATCTCGAGTTACAAAGACCATGGAAAATGAGGCTTTTCTTCCTCGTCGACGTTTAAATCGAATGACAGCTGGGAAATAGCGCGTGACAGCAAATGTTGCACGGTAGATCACGCTTTTAAGGTACGGTTTTAAGTGAAAGTGGCTGAGCGGGAGAAAAATTGGGAATAAAGGTGACTGAACGCAGCGTTATTTTCGCGTTCAAACGACCTTTTGTTTCCAGCCGTGCAATTAGCACCACGCTTCTCCGAAGTACTAATTTTCCCTCAATTTCTACGCAGCTGCAAACGTTCAATTTCAATTTCTACGCGCGTTTACAGTTTTTGTTCGCGCTTTTCAAGCTCGAATACGGCCTGCGGCTGAACTGTAAAACTCCCAGTTAGAACCATTCCAACCGAGTAATTCATTTACGCTTTCCATTTCGCACTTGTACGGATCCTTCAAGAGGAAAATTCGCCGCGTTTCACGGTCTACCGAGGACAGACGGTCACGAGAGGGGCACTAAAACACCGAGAAATGGTCGAACTTTACTCGCGTTATAAAATGGCTAAATGCCTGTTTTCCTTCATATCAATTACGCTATCAGTCAGGAATTTGGAAACTCGTTCCACTTCATATTTCCAGCGATTTGCATTTACGAAATGTCGTTTCATGAACTCGCGAGAGCTCATTTTACTCACAATCGACTTCGCTTTCAATTAGGGGATGCAGCTCTCAAGGATATATTGGCTATACAGTCAATCCCAAAAGTTTATGCCCTTTAGAAA